GGTGGATGTCAAAGGTGATTTAAATTATAATTTGTTAAATAGTACAATACACAATTTAAGTGCTATTATTTTTATCAAAATGCCTGAACTGTTCTACTCAATATTAGTTTTTCACATGAAATGTAACTGGTGAGAAATGATCCCTAAACTTTGTTACATATTGTGGTAATTGATTATGCTTTCAAAACCTTGATACTGAAGAGCACTTTAATCTTTCCCCTATGTAGATCTCATATGAGAAAAAAGAAAGTCTTGAAAGTAATCTCCTGAAAAAATAATTAAATGAACAATCCATTGCTATTTGTTTTTGGATCTTTCAAGAGAATATTAATGTTTTCTTATTAGAGTGATAAAACCTGATCTCTATAATATACAGAATTATGGAAAATCCTAGTCCATAATTTAATTATCTTAAATACAAAATAATATTTATAATAACCTTAAAATAGTCTATAGATGTACTATATAAAAATATATTACAATAAGGCAGGTTATATGCTTTCAATTTGCATTCCATAAATTCCATTTATGAAATTATTACCAAGTTATAATAAATTCAGGAGGAAGGCTAGATCCTAATCCCACACACTTCTGCTCGCCTGCATATATACAGTAAGTCTTGCATCCAGGCCTTCCTGTAGCACATCTCTCATATACAGTAGTGCACATCCACACAACACTCTGTGTCTCACTCTGTTGCAGATAGATGTGTTTTGCATTTGGCAAAATTACTTTCATTGCACTCATTCAGAACTGGAGTCGCTATCGCCTCTTCAGCTCCAGTGCTTCACCACAAAGACAGTGCCTCTACACTGATCATAGTGTCTGCATTATTCTTTCAGGTCCCCTGATTTCAGCAAGCCTCCAGAATCTTAGAGGAGCTGCAGCAGCTACCTGCACAACAATTTCCTCCCTTTTTCTCTTTCTTATTTGCCTGTTCCATTCTCCTCCCTCCCCACTTCTTTCTCCGGTTCTGGTCAAATATCCAACTCACCAAACCTATGGCTCCAGCATATGTATGCCATTTTGTTTCTTCCACTCTCCCCAGTCCTTCTTTTCACTGTCCACTGCAGGAGCCCCTGGTCACTGACTCCTACTCTGCCCCGCGAGCAAGTGTGCATGGAGCCAGTGTGCATCAGACTGGGGCTTCCACGTTCATGCCCATACTGTCCCTAGCTAGGCAATTTCTCCATTCCTTTTTGCTGGTGTCCAACTGGTCAGTGTGGGCCTTCAGCTCTTTTTCCCCTTATGCCTCTAGTCACATATATAGCTCTATTCTTACATTTTGGGGATTCAGGATTAAATTAATTTGTATCTAGCTAAACACAGCATACAACAGCTCTGTGTTGTTTCAGGTTCTTGTTCCGTATTACATTCTGCATCAGGCTACTCTTCTGGGGTAGCCAGATTTTGCATCAGGATACTTTTCTGGAATAGCAGCTCTTCCGGTCACTATCGCTTTCCACTACCACAACAGAGTTCCAATCTCAAACTAGGTTGCACAGCAACATGCTAACCAGTAGCACTTTCCTTCTTCTATGCCACACTTCTCTTCCAGTCACCAGTGTTTTCTATTACACCCATAGATTTTGGATCTCAAACTGTCTAGTGCAGCTACTGTAAGTGATACCTGGTGGCTTTGTTCTTACCTCCCTCCATGCTCAGCAACTCATCATGGCAACCATTACAAACACAATGATGACAATGTCATTAACGTGCTCATACAACACGGCTGGAAAATGAGAGACCGAGAAAACAACATCTTCCTCACTTACTTGCATCAGCAAGTGATTCCTATTCCGCTTCTGTATCACATACAGTAGTTTGAACATGGTGTCCTATTGCTATGTTGTGTACCACTCTGTACCACTCTCTTCCACAATGCTTTCTGTCGCAATTCAGAGCCTGCAGGAATTCATGTCTCCTAGCAGATGGTTCCCCATGTTTACCAAGCTTGCTAGTCCTGCTATTGCTGCTAGACGCTAGTGCTGCCACCTGTTTGCTGACTCGTGGCTTTCAGAGGAAAGGAAGATCCTAATCACGCACACTTCTGCTCACATGCCTATATAAGTCTTGCACCTGGGTATGTGGGATCTCTCTTATACCCCTCCCCCTACCCATCTGCACCCATGCAGCAACTCCCTGGCTCAACCCTCACAATACAGAGGGAGGGTCTGCCCTCACCTGCTGTCAGCCGGGCAAGCTACGCCTAGTACACTTCACATATCTCTTCTCTATCTCACATTTATTAGGATCTAACTGAATCTAACCATGTCTACACATACTGTATGGACTTCCTTTAACCAGTGTTACTTGGTTTCATCAGAAGAAGAAATCACTCATTCTTAAAAAAACAACAAAAAGCTAAGGCTATGTACAATGGTATATCAGTGCTTTTGTATTTATAATAGAGAAAAGACAGGATGGTCATTTCAGTGTAAAATTACAAATGGGTAGAATGGGTGTGATTCCAAGCCTTTTCTGAGGTATCAAGAGCATGATTTAGCATAGCTGTAACTGTCACATTTGGCTAATTTCTGTCCTGTTGCAATACTGTATTTACAGATACCCAGAATTTTAGTACATTTTGATTGCTGCAGTATTTTCCTTTGTAACAACATAAGAGGGGGAAAAGAGTCATTACTGATAAGAAATCAATTTGGTTGAAGTAGTATATCCAGAGATAAAATCTAAAATTGTACGGCAGATACACTGTATGAAGAGCAGAACTTAGAAATTTCTGAGCAATCCCAGAATATGAATCTTACAGACATATTGTATTAAGTTTCTCATTTTTAACTCAAGTATGGGCTGTATCAGGTTTTGCTATAAATGCTGTAAGAATTTTTATTTCCCAGGAAGATAATTGATTTTGCTTTTTTTTTTAATGAACTGAAACACCTTTAGCTCCACCAGTGAGATTCACAGCTCTTCCAGATTCTGAGAGGAGTAAGTCCATTGAAGCAGGCTGCCCCATTGTGCTGCATTGTGAGGTTTCAGACCCCACTGCCCAGGTCTGCTGGTACAAGGATGGAACAAAGCTCCTTCCACAGAGTAGCATAGACATCCAATCAGAGGGCACCACAAGACGAATGATAATCCAATCAGCAGAGCTGGCCCACTCTGGGGTGTACAGCTGTGACGCTGTTGATGATGTCATGAAATTCAAGGTGGATGTTAAAGGTGATTTGAATTTTATTTTATATGTTTAATTTATTATTAAATGTTATATAATATGGTGGAAAAAATAAGACAGGACAGTCCAAAGATGATTATCTCACTTCTTTAGGGTGAACCTATCTCTTTTGTTGGAATGTGGTATTGTACAAATCCTTGGGATAATGCACCATATATACTGTATGAATGAAGTATATAACATATATAAAATCAAGTTTATTATGGTTATATAATTTATTAAGTTATTGTAAATTATAGATAATGCATTTTCATACACTAACAATTAAATTTCATTATTATCTTAAAATAATGTTGTTTGGTAATTACAAAACCAGAAATCACTATATCCTAATCCAACACAAAAATCGCAAGATCACAAATATGAAATATTTTGTTCTTTAATCCAAATCTTGTGATGTGCTGTTAAGCCATAATTTCAAGACTAATATATGAAGTACATTGATAGACAGTAAAGGATTACAAAAAACTGAAAGAGAAACAGGAGCAAGAACAGAATAGTACTGTGTACACCCATACTGTATATCAGATGTTGTGATCAAATGGGAGGGTTACTAGAAATGTAGCATGGGCCAGAACCCAGCTCTATATTTTACTAGTATGAGCATTTTATTTGTAATAAAGTTAAGAACTTAGCTATTTTGAAGTGTTGCCAGAAGGAAATTTGAATATTTTAGGACAGTGTTCCTTAGCCATAATCCTGGTGGGCCAGTATCTCTACAGGCCTCCAGTCCAGGTGGGCTTTAACCTGAATCAGCTCATCATTGGCTTAATTTAACCAGTTCAACAGCTTCTCCCAGTTCTCCTGCTGCTGGTGCTTTAAAGAGATCCAAAAAACCTATAGAAAAAGAGGCCCCCAAGGACCAGTATTGGGAACCCCCTTTTTAGGCACTTGATATTAAATTTTTCATCATAAATTAAGCCCTGACTATATGAAAACCTTCATCAGTGTGAGGGCTGAAAGGAAACATGCAAAGGCTAATTGCACAGAAAAGACTAAAAAGAAAGAAATACAAATTTTACATGTTGCACAAAACAACTGCTGTAAATATAATATCTTCATCTATTTCCAAGATAGTCATTTATATATTTTTTCTTGAATATGAATTTAAACACCCTTAGCTCCACCAGTAAGGTTCACAGCTCTTCCAGAATCTGAGAGGAATACGTCCACTGAAGCAGGCTGCCCCATTGTGCTGCGCTGTGAGGTTTCAGACCCCACTGCCCAGGTCTGCTGGTACAAG